CTCCAGTTATAGAGCAGAGGCAGAAGCACTTCTAGCAGCATGTTCTTTCCTGAATGGACAACAGCACAGCAAATATAGCAGAGTGGTCTTTCTGACTGATGCTATGTCAGTTCTACAAGCAATTGTTAACCCAAAAGACACTCAGTTTGTAGACTTGACGCAACAGCTGATTTGCTTAGGCTCTTCAGTAGAACAATCTGTACTGCAGTGGATTCCAGGTCACTGTGGCTTGGAAGGCAATGAAATAGCGGAGACTAAAACCAGCTGCTGGTCAAACATTTTTGCCGCTGTAGCAGTGATTAGAAACAAGACCATGCCCACCTGTTAAAGAATCACTATCAGTTCATCTGTGTCACAATGAAACATGGAGTTCCACAAGGCGGAGTTCTGTCCCCAGTTTTTTCCTAGTTTACATTAACGACATGATATCAACCCTCTGTAATGGAGTTCAAGCTGTTATGTATGTCGATGATCTGGCGCTACTGAGTTCAGAGGAGGACACTGAAAAAGCACAGACAAGGCTTCAAGAATCCCTCGGAACTCTAGAGAGGTGGTCCAATAGTTGGTATATGCCTGTAAATGGGGCCAAAACCACACACACCATTTTCAGTCTCTCTACCAAATCCCAGAAAGTTTCACTTAGATATGGCAGCCAGGCACTGATACATGATGACTCACCGTCGTATTTAGGAGTAACCTTTGACCCAAGACTCACACGGAGAAAGATAAAAAAGACACAGAGCAAGGGACTCAAGAGAACACAACTGATGAGGAAGTTAGCTGGAACAGATTGGGGGGCAAACCTCAATGTCCTTAAGAGGACCTATACAGGCTATGTGAGGCCAACACTAGAATATGGAATAGCTGCTTGGGGCACAGCAGCTAAATCAAATTTTCAGAAAGTCTCAAAGATCCAAAACCATGCTCTCCGTATTATGACAGGGGCAATGCGCTCCACGCCCATATCAGATATGGAAACAATTACTGGTCTTTATGATCTGGAAGATAGGAGAGACACGAAGCTCCTCACCCAGCTCTCCAAATACCACCACTTTAAAGAACAACCCATGCACAGCCGACTGCAGAAACCCCAGAAGGCTAGACTAAAGAGAACCTGTTTAATTAAGAACGCAAATGTCAAGCTCGCTGTCCTTAAACTCCCCCCCATAATACCAAATGTTCCATTTAAACCTTACAACGACTGCCCCTTGGCTCAGGGATAGCCTACCAACAGTCAGAACTACTGTAACAGGGATCTCCTCCAAATCATCAATGAGCAGCACTGATATGAAATCAACTACAGAAGGAGAGATCAATAGACTTTACCCACACCAGAGTTGGATTCGAGTGTATACAGATGGTTCAGCCAAGAGAGCAGTAAGAGACGGAGAAGGAGGAATATACATAGAATGCCCAAATGAGTTAAAAATCAACCAGGCTGTACCAACAGGTTCATATTCCTCCAGTTATAGAGCAGAGGCAGAAGCACTTCTAGCAGCATGTTCTTTCCTGAATGGACAACAGCACAGCAAATATAGCAGAGTGGTCTTTCTGACTGATGCTATGTCAGTTCTACAAGCAATTGTTAACCCAAAAGACACTCAGTTTGTAGACTTGACGCAACAGCTGATTTGCTTAGGCTCTTCAGTAGAACAATCTGTACTGCAGTGGATTCCAGGTCACTGTGGCTTGGAAGGCAATGAAATAGCGGACAGATTGGCCAGAAGCGGCAGTGACATGGTACAACCAAATAGCGACTTAACCCACCAAGAGATGAAAACACTAATACAAGCTAGTATCCAAGAAAGGTGGCTGGATACCCACACCAGATTTTCTCCCCAAGACTCACTTCATCGCCTCTCTAGAGAGGGACAGTGTATTATATTCAGACTAAGGACAGGGCACAACAGATTTTGTCAACAAATGTTCAAATTTTTTGGTGTAGGAAATACGGAGACGTGTCCCTGCAGCGTGGCACCCGAAAATGCTGAGCATGTGCTCCAACACTGTCAACTGTATGCTGACAACAGAGATGCAATCTGGCCTGTTCCAACCACACTGAAGACAAAACTGTATGGTACACGAGAGGACATGGATTGCACGATAGCTTTCATAAAGGCTACCGGTCTCCTGATATAAGTTTTCTGACAGAAGGATCGAAGAAGAAGAAGAAGTTAATATGTAAGTGCCAGCTGCCTTACATCGGTCAAACGGAGAGACAGCTTGAAAACAGAGTGGCAGAACACATCCCTAAATGGCTGCATTCACAACTAAGTGGAGATTCTGTTTCAAGATCAGCCAAGAAGAGAGAACCTGTGTCTTAGACAAGTTGTCATTTGCTTGATTCTAGACATGTGGTTGATAAGGATTGTGCCCTTAGATTTATCTGCCACACATTGAATAGACATTTGTTAAAACTGGCCCTAGCCATATCAATAAAACTGAACTCTACTGTGTGATGTATGCAAAAAGAGCACATGCTAAATTTAAAGTTACCATGGTAATCACACGGCTAATCTTGAATTTTCAGTGGAGAGATGTACAGCCCAGCCTACAATGCACTTTATGTATTTCAACAAAGAAAATTCATTTTGTGTGTGCTTGATTATATGTTGACTTAACTCTGCAGTAAATGCACCTGACAAGATACAGCGAAATATGCCAGACAAAAAATTGTGCAATGTATTGCTTAGGTTCACATTAGTTGAATAACAATATGTGATTGAAAAGAGAAGAAAAACAAAACAAACAAAAAACGGTAATTTAGTGTTCAAACATCAACATGATGGTTGACATTATTTGGTCTTAATGATATCTGCTATTTGTGGTCTGATGTTGAACAAGGCACAATAAAGATCACTCTCCTCATAAAGCTGGCAACACTGTTTAGGGGGGTGGCAACACCGTTTAGGGGGGTGGCAAAACTGTTTAGGGGGGGGGGGGGGGTGGCAACACTGTCTAGGGGGTTGGCAACACTGTTTAGGGGTGTGGGGGGGGGGGGGGTTGGCAACACTGTTTAGGGGTGGGGGGGGGGGGTGGCAACACTGTCTAGGGGGTTGGCAACACTGTTTAGGGGTGGGGGGGGGTGGCAACACTGTTTAGTGGGGTGGCAACACTGTTTAGTGGGGTGGCAACACTGTTTAGTGGGGTGGGGGGTGGGGGGGGGTGGCAACACTGTTTAGTGGGGTGGCAACACTGTTTAGTGGGGTGGCAACACTGTTTAGTGGGGTGGCAACACTGTTTAGTGGGGTGGCAAGACAACATCCTAGCAGAAGGTGGGAGGAATACCATTATACAGATAGACAGATGGTGTAGCTGGATACTGCAAAAACATTCACAAATCAATTACTAAAGCAACTCGAGAAGAGCAGGACAAATACAGAAAACAATTACACTGGGCTAAAAGTCTGTAATTGTATGATGATATGATGAGGTGGAGGGAAATTATCAGACAGTCAGGTGACCCAAAGACGTGATGTTACGGCCTGAACTGCTCACTCACAAAGCATGTTGAGAAAGTGGGGAGAAGATGCTCTGAGCAGAGGCAAAGATGCTCTGAGTGGAGGCAAAGATGCTCTGAGCGGAGGCAAAGATGCTCTGAGCGGAGGCAAAGATGCTCTGAGCGGAGGCAAAGATGCTCTGAGCGGAGGCAAAGATGCTCTGAGCGGAGGCAAAGATGCTCTGAGCGGAGGCAAAGATGCTCTGAGCGGAGGCAAAGATGCTCTGAGCTGAGGCAAAGATGCTCTGAGCGGAGGCAAAGATGCTCTGAGCGGAGGGGCAGGGCATCGCTTCTGAGGTCGCAGGTAGTTAGCATTCTTTGGATATTTTCTGTACGCTTCCAGGAGAGTTTGGAAATGAACAGACGGACAGTTACAGTTACGATGGTTTTGACATGTAAGCAGAATGGGAGAAAATCGTCCACCATGGCAGGAATGGGAGGCTAAGAACCAGGGAACCAGAGCTCCAGGACGACCCAGGGTGCGCTGGGAAGACAACATCCGTCAGTCCCTAACTGACAGAGAACTGGAATGGAACAAAGCCAGAAAAAAAACTGCTGATAGAGACGTCTGACGATCTCTCTGGCAAAGCTCTGCACCGCAAGGTAGAAGAGGAGCGACTAAGTAAGTAAGTACAGACCTGCTGGTTCTGCTTGTTGGTGAATTTATGCATGACAAACTAGATGAGCTCAAAGCCCATTGACAGCAAGCGAACAATATGAAGGCACAAACATTATAGTCTGGAGGGAATGGTACAACTAGAAGCGACCAGGGGATGTGGTCAACACTCTATACCAGTGCTTCCCAAACTTTGTGTGTTTGTGTGTGTGCGTGCGTGTGTGTGTGTGTGTGTGTGTCATATCCCACATAAGCCTTTCTAAAATTCTTATGTACCCCTATGTAACTTAAACTCTGGTCGAGTCCACATCTCCCGACTTTACATGTTGGGAAATACTGCTCCACACTCAGACGAAAAAGCAAGACTGACATATAATCAAATTATAAGTGGCATCATCAGAATTAGAATGCTTCACTGGCTGCTGAAGATGAGGACAGTGTTTATGGGAATATTCTGAGTGCTGTGCTGTGATATCAGTTCTTAGCTTAACACTCAACAGTGTGAAAAGAAAAGAAAAATAAGACAAACATAGTAAAGCTTGACAGTGGGCTACAACCCTTCAATTGTGTGACAAGTGTTAAAATGGAGCTGCCATGGTGTAGTGGCTAAATGCTCACCTGCGGGTCTGAAGGTCCAGGGTTCTGGTCCTAATAAAGCCGGACTTTTATTTTTAAAATGATCTTGGCTTCCAACTTGACCAAGCCTTAAATGAGTACCAGGTTATGTCTTAGGAATTGACCACATCACCCACAGAGTGCTGATTGATTTATACAATAAAGGTCTAGATCTGTATACCCAACATGCATAAAGGCATTTAAAAAAGGGGTCCTTTACTTGGTATTAAAAGAGATAAGCCATGTCCAGAAATCTTGAAGTGAGAGGATCTAATGTGGCAATGGATGGCTGGTTGACAGAACTTGATCATACATTTGTTCTGATGACAAAGAAGACACTGTCTGAGACACTGCAGACATTTGAGCCGATGGAGCAGATGTTATCGACAAAGAAGGGTTTATATACTGCAGGTTAGCAGCCTCAACTGTGTTGTTTCCAGAGAGGGCAAAATTAACCCCTGGCCGCTGGTATCTTCCCAAACTGTCCTGAAAGATCACAATGGTTTGTGCATAAGACTGCGGTGTCATGGTGGAGCACTGCGCTGGTGACATTACTACAGCACCAGTTTCACGGCTAAACTGGCTCTGTTGGTAAATTCCAGGCACAGATACTGAAGCTTGTCCTAAAAGAGGCACAAATGATGAGGATGTAGCTTGTTCTAATGATGATGATGTAACTTGTCCTGAAAGAGGTGCATGAGATAATGTTGGATTCTGTCCTGAAAAGGTCACAAATGAGGATGCTGTATCTTGTCCTGAATGAGGCACAAATGTTGTAACTTGTCCTGAATGACATAATGATGTTGTCATTTGAACTGGATTAGGCACACATGATGATGTTGCAACTTGTCCTAAAGGAGGCAGACATGATGTAACCTGCCTTGAATAAGACACAAGTGAGGCTGCTGCGGTACCTCCAGGGTTAGGCAGAGTCTGCACATGATGAGCTGCTAAGGATACATGATGTTGATTTGCTTCTTGTCTCACCTGATGAACTGAAGCTGGTCTGATAGCAGACATATGTAGCGGTACTGGAGAAGTTGGTACAGAACCATGCATCTGTACAGGCACTGGAGAGTACATCTGGTTTTGAAACCTTAAATGTGGCTCTGCTGTCCCAGTGGAATTTACAATTTCCTCAGATGCAACAATGTTCTCAGAATCATAATCATCATACTGTTTCATTTCAGCACAAGAACTGTCCAAACAACCGCTTGGTGCATTTACCCCTCGTTCCCTCTGATCATACACATCATACACTGGAAATGTATTCTTGATAGTGCTGTTATAAGTAACAGGTAGTGACCCTGAAGTTTCAACAGCTCCTTCTAGATGCTGCCTCTGAAACTGTTTCTGATGCTTTTTCTGCTGGTAAAACTCATTTTGCTGTTGTTTTTGAATTTCTAGGAAATCTGTATTACCACATAGCTCGGAACTATTAAGTCGTGAACCCTCTGCCCTTGAAATGTCTTCATTAATTTTGCCAGAGTCATCTGCACTTGAAAAGACTCTCTTATGTTGGCACTGAGCATTTTCTGTGCTTAAAAAGTCTCTCTTAAGTTGGCACTGAAAGGTATCTGCACTTGAAATGTCTCTATTAAGGTGAAACTGTGAGTTATCTGCACTTGAAATGTCTCTTTTAAGTTGACACTGAGCATTATTTACACTTGGAATGTCTCCATTATTTTGAAATTGCGAGTTATTTTCGCAAGAAACGTCTCCATTAAGCACACTTATAAAAAAATCAGTGCGTTTTGGAACATAGCACTTGGTATCCTCTCGCCACAATTTAGGATCCTTCTTATGAATCAGAATCATATGCCTACGCAGAACTGACGAGTCAGCAAATGTTCTTCTGCAGAGCACACACTCGTAAGGTTTATCGCCGGCATGTATCCGTTCATGCCTAACCAGAGCCTGCTTCTGGTTAAACCCCTTCCCACACATTGAACACACATAATCCTTTGTTGTTTTGTGAACTTTCTGATGAATGGCCAGGCCCGAAGCTTGGCGAAATGATTTTTCACAAAAGGAACAAGAGAATACTTTCTCGTCGTTGTGCATAAACTTGTGTTCTTTCAGCGATTTCTCATAAGAAAATCTTTTACCACAGATCTCACAGGAAAATGGCCGAATGCCGAGATGAACATTTGCATGCTGGTGATACGAGTTTTTCTGCGAGAAACTTTTACCACAAGTTGGACATATATATGAGCGTTTCATTCCTAAATGATCAGCCTTTATGTGGTATGCTAACACATATTTCGTACTGAAAATTTTCGTACAGAATTTACAAGCAAATTCAGGTTTGACATAGCCAACAGCGTGTGTCCTTTTGTGCTCTATAAGTTTTCTAACTTCTTTGTACATTTTACCACAGATGTCGCAGCAATTTTCCGCCTTTGTGTGGCATTTCATATGCCTTCGGAGGTCTTTGAGGAACCCAAACTCTTTCAAGCATTCTTCACACTGGAATTTTCTGGTTAAATGAACCCTTCTTTTGTGTTCCAGTAGCTGGACATGCTTTATTGTTGAATATGAGCACTGGTCGCAACTGTGCTGATCATCTTCAACTTCTTTCTTCACATTATTTTTTGTTACTTCATTCACATTTTCTTCTTGATTGCTAATTTGAAGACTTGTCTTGCTTTTCACTTGCACCTCACTTACAGAAACAAAATTGTTCACTGTTTCATTCTGCACGCCATCTGCCAGCTGGCAATTTTTTATGGCTGCCTTTTTATTTATTTTATGACAATCACTTTCAGTATGTCTTTTATCTTTTGTACTGACTTGCTGTGAGTTAATTTCAGAACTGGCTTTCTTGTCACATCTCGACACACTCCGAGTCTGCACTAGTAATACTTCTCTAATTCTGTCATTTTTTATTAAAGTCTTACAGTTTGTCACTTGCTTTACATCTTCATTGCTTCCTTTACATTTCTTTCTTTTTCGACCACTTCTCCGATACTTACTGTGCCTCTTGAGAACTGTCACATCATTGTCGACAATCTCAACAGTTTTATGTCTATTTAATCTGTGTCTATTTAATCTTAACCTAACTGGTCTAGAATCCTTATCATAATTTGTCTGTTCATTAATGTCATCGATGTTAACATCTTTCTCCAGATAATTTGAATTTATTTCTAATCGCTTCAGTTCTTTATTTGATATACTATTTCTAACAAATGTCTGAGAATTTGAAGTGGTATTATCTATTAATGTTTGTGGTTTACTTTCAACATCAGTGAACTGTTGTTCAGAATTGTGTCGATCATGAACATCAATATGAACAATTTCTTCTTTGGTAAAATCAAAAGAAAAATCTGAAGGCGATAAATGTTTACCAGATCCAGATGCAGCTGAGCGCTTCTGGTATTTTTCTATTGTCTCTTTCCTGTACACTTGACTCAAAACCTGTTCAATCTCTGTGAGATTAGCTTTATTAGTCTTGCTGGTGTCATCGGTCTCGACTAAAATATAAGGCTCTGGAGGCTGCATTCCTGAATCTGCATTTCTTGTTCTCTTATCAATAGTCTTACCTCTTAGGTTTGAATTAAAGTACCACTTATCCATAATTATACTTGGATCATACATGCCGTGGTCCGTCTTGATAATATCCAGGTAATCGTCAGTTTTAAGTTCACTTAATTCACTTGAAAGTAGCACATCTTTAGATGTATGCTTATTGTCTGTGAGTTCATTTCGACAACTACCCTCTTCCTCAAATTGAGAGAATGCAGCATTAAAGTCATCCTGGGTAAAAACATCTCCCTTGAGCATCACATTATGAAGACGTGAAACCAAGCTTTTTAGAAAGGCATCAATTTTTATTAATGTCTTCCACGAACCCTTCACGACAATAGGTCTCTCTTGAGAAACAATATCCACATCTAACTGCTGACAGAGGCGATGTAGGTAGGCAAGAAGTCCCTGTGGGTGTGGAAACGTGTCTACAAACTGATCAGCCACCACAACTGTAGCGCTAACGAACGGGTTTGCCAGCTGATTATGATCCATTTCTGAACAAGCCATTGTTGCAGTCTGTGTATCTAAAATTCTAAAGAGTCATCTTAGTCCATCAGATGTGACTTTGAACCAATCAGAAGTAGTTTTGAGAGCGTTTTCAAAGTTTATATTTTAACACCTTACAGTTTCTAGTCTCAGCGTCCATTTCTCTTCTACATACTTACTAAATATAATTTTTTAAATCCAAGAGTTCTACACCATCATCACTATCATTATCATGAATTCACCGTTTGGGTTCCGGTGACTTATTATACGGAAAACAAGAATAGACTGGGACCGACGGTCCCGAATAGACACACTACCTACCTAAAAACGTGTCATAAGAGTCGACTAATTGGGAACTTCCTTCGAAGTCGGAGTGCATCTGCCTGAGAGGCAAGGAACTAACAGTCTGCATACAACTGAGCCAGATCTGTAAAACGGATGCACACGGAACACTCAGGTTCTGGAACAGGACTGCAGTCCAAGAGTGGATGAACAAACAGAACTTTCCGCCAAAGTTTACAGCTGGTAAACATGAAGAATAGAAGAATAAATTATCATGATTATCATCATCATCCTCAGCAGTCTTTTTTGTTTTGTTTTAATCAAACTAAAAATCAGAATGCTGTAAATGTTGGCACTCTTCCGAATACCAGTCCCAAATTATATACTGTTTTGAAAATCCCATATATTCTCGCGTCTTCAGTAGTGTAGTTAAAAGTATTCCTCCTGTCACGTGGGTGACTGGGGTTGGATTTCCCGCCAGGTGATCCTTTTTTTTAGCCCTTGAAAATGCAGCTGGCACTTTGTATTGTGGTTTACAGCTAGGCTACGTACGATATATGTGTTTTTCGTCCCAACACATCAGATTTCAGCAAAGTCCTTATTAGTCGCCTTTTACAACATCCTTTTTAGGTGGCAGCGGATCTATTCTTTTCTTTATCTCTCAAACATGTGGCCCTGGAACCCACGGGTAATGTCTTGTATCTACGAAGATTTAACAATGGATGGTCATGATGCTTCATTAGAAAAAAACAACAACTCTTTCTCCTCACGGCGCTTAGCTTAACGTCTAAACATTACTATTCATCTAGCAATAACGGCAGAAGTGGAAACTAATGATGATGCCCTAAATTATGATTGGTACGTATTCCGCATCTATATTTCAGTTGTGCATGTTCCATATTTTTTTGTGTGTGTGCTATATAACCTCTTGAGGCTCTCAGCGGGATTTTATTCGCAGTGAATGATTTAGGACCGGTTTTCCATGGTTAATCACATCCAGATGCAGTTGTGCGCTTCAGATAGTTTTATATGGTTTCTTTCCTATATTTATATATTGGCAGGACGCCAGAGAACGGGTAGTGATTATTTTAATTAGGCTTAAAGTGAGCTAAAAGTCTGGCGACTGTGCATAAAAAGGCCAACGCCCCTAGAACCGCGCTTCTTCCACATTTCAATCACATTCTCTTGCTGACAGCCCGATCGCAAGCACATTGCATAGCTCGCTCGCTCAAATGATCCCTTCGTCGCCCCATTCTCGATAGCTGGTTACTAAACTTTGAATCGCTTGCTTTGTCGGCTGACTCGGTCTAGGTTGGTTATCTTGGTCAGCGCTCGTTTGGCTATCAGCAGGCAGCATTATCAGCCTCATCTAAAGTCACCATGATATCACAACTCAATAACTCGATTGTAGTTTTTAGGATTTCGGGCCCTTTGAGATTGTGACATACAAGAACTAGCGAGAGCTACTGACCAAATCACTGAATCCACTGACATGTACCAGAATAGCAGAGAAACTAAGCAAAAAAAAAAAAAAACCAAAACAACAACAGCAGATTACGAGGTCAGGGAGGCTTAAGAATACGTTCATGTTATTCCTAAGTTTAGTCAAATTGACGTATCCCTACAGAACTGTGTGGATGGAGGAAGACGGCTGGCAGACGTGTCATCCAGAACACGACTCACCATCTGGTCAACTAAGCCAATAAGAGCTGGAGAAACGCTAAGCCCGAGCGGATACTGAAATTAAACTCTTCGACGAACTGATGGACGCCCACTAAAACATGCGCAAACTGAAGGCACGCAGCAAGGAAAGAACACCGGCCAGCTGCAAACAAAAACTAAAACGCCACTACAACAACAAGCACTAGGGCCAGCTGAGACGTCCCATTCAGATTCAGGGGGGGGGGGGGGAGTAAATATTATGGCCACATTAAAAGACAACACTCTTTTAAAAGTTATACTTGAGGGGAAACTCGAGGGCAAGAGGTGTCCATACACGTAGGAGGATAACATGAAAAGATGAGCGAACAGCAGTCTGAGGTAGTGTGTCAACTGGAGCCGATCGTGTTATAACTAAGACAAGAGAGACAGGGTGTTGTATTTTTTCTTCTTCTGCGTTCGACATCAGTCATGCTAAACATTGAGTCCCGTCTGGGTCACAAATAGGATTGTGCGTTTAAGGTCGCCACCGGTCCCCTATAGCTTCTCTTTCAATGTGGCTCCCTTGGGCCAGATCCACAGTCTTTGCTGGGAGAGGTAAGGGCAGTACTGTAGTATGTGCCCAGGGGTGTGTCTTTCTGCTTCACAATCACAGGCAGCAGATTCTTTTATGCCTATCCTGTACAGGTGTGCTCGAAGACCACAGTGTCCAGTCCGAAGTCTAAAAATTGTTCTTTCCTGTTGAGTTTGTTTATGCTGTCACTATCTGGTCTGTAATCTTCATTCTGCCTTCTGCACTCCCGCTTGAAAGACTGCTTTAGCGCTGTTTTGGTTTCCTTGTAGCTGTGTGGTGGATGAGGTTGTAGAAGATTACTCCCAGCTTTTGCCAACTCATCTGCTCTCTCATTTCCTTGAATACCACAGTGGGCTGGTATCCACTGCAAGACCAGTTCTGCTTCCTTGGAGAGTAGGCCAATGTTGGTCCTTAGATCTGCCATTAGTTTGTCTTGTTTTTTGCTTGATAGTGCTCCGAGAACAGACAATGAGTCACTAAGTATAACAATTTTGTGCCCTCCGTGTTCTTGATTGATGAGATGTTGGACTGCAGAAAGGAGGGCAGTTGCCTCAGCTCTGAAAGTAGTGCAGATGTCACCTGCTGGTAGAGAGAGAGTTTCTGCTCTACTGCTAGGGGGTTTAAAGTATATTCCACAACTCCCCTTTCTGACTGCTTCTGTAGCAGAGCCGTCGGTGAAAACCTGAGTCCAAATGGTGTTTGGATACTTCTCATCAAGCATAGCAAGAGACAGGGTTCTCCGTCGTGTCTCAGTCTGTGCATCTATTGAAGTGATCCCTGGTACCTTTAGGACTACATTTGCCTTCTCTGTCTTGCTTGTCCATGGTCCTGGCCTAAGTTTTTCGCACAGTGCAACATCTCTTTCAAGCAGATCTAGGTGCTGTCTGTACAGTTCTCTAGCAAGGTGGTTGGGGCTCTGATGCTTCAGTCTAAAATGCAGTGGATGACTTTCAAGTCTTTTTAATTTCTCATACTGTAAAAGAGTTTTGTATTGTCTTCCGAGTTCGAGTGGTTCAGTATCTGCTATCCTCTCTATCTCTCTGATGGGGGTGATTTTCATGGCTCCGAGAACAATCCTTAATCCCATATTCTGAACATGGTCCAGTTTTCCTATTGTTGTCTTGGCTGCTGCAGCCCATGCAGTGGAGGCATATTCCATGACTGGCCTGACTGCTCCAGTATATACTTGTTTTAGGATTCTGGAGTTGGCGCCCCATGTGGTACCCGCTAATTTTTTCATAACTGCAAGCTTCTTGAATGCTTTCCCCTGTACTGCTTCTACTTGTGACTTCCAAGTTAGTCGCGAATCAAGTGTAACGCCCAGAAAGGTAGGAGTGTCAGTCTGTGGAATGAGCTGGTTTTTTTATCCAAATTTTGATTTTTTCTTTTTTGGGGGGAGAGAGAGAGAACAGTGATGCTGTGCTTTTTGAATTATTTAGCTTTAGACCCCACTTTTCGGTCCAGGCTTCTACATTTTCCACAGTTTTCTGTAACAGATATGAGGCTGTGGAAGTGCATTCGGAGGCTGTCCAAACTGCAAAGTCATCAGCATGTAGGGTATTATAAACGTGCTAATGGCAGGTTGCTGTGATAACATTTATGTAAACCAGGAACAGAGTTGGTGCTATCGCACTGCCCTGAGGAACTCCTTCTCTTAGTTTTGCCAGTTTGCCGATGTGTCCATCAATTCTGAATCTGGCTCTGCGTTGGAAAAGAAAATCTTTGATCCATTTGTACATGTTGTGCACAACCCCTGCCTGTAGCAACTTTAGTTGTAGGCCTTCTTTCCAAACTGTAGGGTGTTGTAATCCGATTGAGCTGTAGTGTAAGGTGAGTAATAAAGTAATGACTCACATTAAGAAAGGAATACTGTCCCATTAAGTCAATACTGTACTCAGAATTGTATGGGACTTAATTTGGAACACCTAAAAACAGTCAAGAGTATCACAAGAACTTGTTTGTGGTAAATTGGAACACAAGAAAGAAAATAGGAAATTATGTGTCAACTTTATGTTTTCAATCTAGAGAGGAAGTGACCTTTGACCCGGCCGCATGACGTCATGGTTATTTCTCGTTTGCTGCCTGTCGTCTGGCGGACAACAACAAACCGACGGATTCTTTCTTCAACAGGTAAACACCGTCCTCTTTAACCACAGTCTCAATGTGGACGCTAATTTGCCAACCTCTCTGTCTCTATTATACGCAACTATGAAGTGTTTAAAAGCTAGTTTGTTTAAAATAACAGTAAATGTAGTTTATTTAAAAGCTTAGTGACTGAGAAGTCGAAGCAAAGTCGACCGCTGTAGAACAATCAAAAAACAGGTCAGCGAAGTGAATGAAGCATCTTCAGCTTCAACATCTTCTTTAAAACTCAAATCCTTCTGCGTAAGTTCTTCTAATCCCTCACTACAATATAAACGCATAGTGAATTTAGATGATAGTTTACATTACAAGAACAAAAAGTAAAAATACAATTGATATCAATGTTCTTTAGTTATGTGTCTGGAGCAGTTAATGAGAACAAAGGCTCAGCTAGTAGTCGTTAGTAGTTAGTCAGATGTAATTAAAAGAGATATAAATACGTTTACTTTTAATTTACAAACTTGTATTTGTCTAACTTGATTTATGATGTGTAATTCTTTTCCCCTTAGTTTAACTGTTTGTTAGAGGAAAGTAGACAAGCACGAAAGCAAGAACCCTTTGTTATTTCAGCTGACTGACATAGTTTAGATAGAAAGTAGATCACCGAATTCTTGTTGTCAAGTAGAAAGAAGAGGCTGGCGATCAAAGGTCGGAGCTACAGCTGTTGGACGTGGTTAGACGGTTTCTGACTAGTATGTTGTTGGTAGCTTTTCCTTATAACGGAGAGTATACATTTGACAACAGTGATAAGAAGGGACATTTCTGATCTAACACTTTGTAAGTTTGATTTAAGTCAAACTATATTTCTTTTGTTATTTTACTGCTACCAGGTTGTAGCCCAGTGTTGTACTTTTTCAAGTTTTTCTGTATTTGTCATTTGTTAAATCTGTTTTTGCAGGTTTTAGCTACACCATTTTTATCCATCTCTTTATTGGTCTTCCCCCCCCCCCCTCCCCCATTTTCCTCTGATATTCTGCTGTAAAAAGTCTCATATGCAGTTTCGTCTGTCTGCATTCTCACTAGGTGACCAAACCATTTTATTTTTTGACAGTATAATCCAGAACTGGTCTTATTTAAACTTTCTCTCTATTGCTGGAATTTCTAACCTTGTCTCTTCTTGGAAATTGTATTAATAACAAGATTATTAATAATATATATTATATTATACATGAACTCCTTCAGCCCCAGATAGTCCTTAATTCAGCTGTCTATACCAGTGAGTCAAGCTTTGAGCAAGGCGGGGTACTTAAGATGCCCTGGTCATCCACTGCACCTAGGTCCATTTCCAATCGTCTTGACATTGTCCTGCCATTGGATCAAGGTGGACACAGGCGAGAGAGTGAGGTCGACGAATTGCGCAAGTCACTTTCATCCAGCTGTCATCATTATCATCAATCACACTGCTCAAAGATTTTCCTGGCTCATATTGGACTAATCAGCCATCTTCCTACTCATAATCATTGATCATTACTACTTTGGATAAAAGTGGTCTTCATCACTCGTGATGGACAAACAACATACCAGTGTATGCTCATGTTTTGTTTCTTAAAGCAATAGTTTGTTCAGTCTCAATAACACAGTGATATTTGATAACACTGCAAAACTCTGCAGAATCCTCTTGGTTCTAAATGGATTTCACAGCCAGTTGTTATTTGAGATAAGCCGAGGACCCTCCTCCATGCCCCTTTGACCTATTGAATATGCAGTGCCAGACCAATATTTTATTGACCATTCAGCACTCACCAGGTATTGTGGACAGCATCTTGCCGGCCACCTTTACTTCCCAGGACTTTACCTGGAACCCAAAGCAGGCTGGGTCGAGCTAACAGTCAAGGTGATTCTTAAAAATAATACAACACTGTAGATTTGAAACCTGATATTATCAATGCCCTCAGAGAAATGGGAAGGATAGAGGACTTTGGTAGCAGTGAATCCACATCACTCGCCAGAATGGCAGACTTGGGAATTAAGATCGGCACAGCAAAAAACAACGAGACGCACACCAGCTACGCCAGAAGACTTGTTAATCAACATAGAACTGGTACTATTAGCCATCGGACGTTGGGGTTCATACTGAGGGGAGGATCTGAGCACCTATGGACATGTCCGGAGTGCAATGATGATAACCCAGCTAACTAACTAACTAAGATTTGAAACCTAGACCTTTGGGCCAGATTGCTAGCGCCTAACCACTTTACTACCATGGCTAATGTATATGACAAGGACCTGGTGAAGTTTAAAATATAATTTTTTTCAGATCCAAGGCTGTGTGAAGTAATTCCAGTTATCCCTGCCCAAGTAGAGTCTGGGAACATCAAAAGGTGTCAACAATGTTGGTTGTAAGACTCACCCAGCTGTTTGATTCCATCAAGCAGACTCTGTTCATTATCGGCACAGGTCTGGTCATCTTTCTGTGCCTCAGGAACTCTTTAATATGGTAAGTTTTTGTGTATGTATTTGAAAGCAGTGTTTCCCTGTTGTAAATTTATCCCTTTTGCCCACTCTAGAAAAACAAAGCCAAGCACCACATACTTTAGATTTTGTGAAAAATTCATGAAAACATATGTCCTAAGAAAGAACAATTATACATGTCACAAACAATAACAATTCCCAAAATCAGTGAATCAAAGCAAAAGTAAATACTGTATAGAGTAAGGAGAGTAACAAATGAATACAGCACAACTGACCTAGATCTAATGTGGCCTGTAAACTAATTATAGTGTAACTGTTACTTGACCCTGTTACCCAGTCACCCTGTAGTCATTTTAGCCAATGGCAAAAAATATGACATAGGACTTTCTATAAATAAAAACCCTGTTTAAAAAAAAAAATCAATCAAAATGATATTTTTAGTAAATTTAGGCATCCCTGGTAACACTAAATATTGGTGGGGATGTTGCAGTAAATTGCACATGCTGCAGTGAATTGCAGATGCTGCAATGAATTCAGTTAGCTTGACATCTCATAAACATGTCTTTGTAGCAAGCCAGGAAAGCTGCTTTTAGGGAAAAGGGAGGGAGGGGGTGGGGGGGGGGGGATGGTACCAATTTGAAGTGTCATTTCCAAGCTTCTCAGGTGAAAGGGTTCAACTAAAAAGACATGTTCAATAAATTGCACAGTGTCTTGACTGGCATGTTTCACTGTATCTCTTCAGATGCATACTACAGTAACAGTTGAATATAAGCAGCTGCATTAATCCTTTAGAAAATAAATAGCTACTACTTTTCCCATTCATCCCGCTGGTTATCTCTTCGGGTCACTCCGGCAGCCCTTCTCAGACATCTTGTTTCCATAGTTATTAATTTTCTTTTCTGATTTGTGTGTGCTGATCAGGATTGCCTTATGCTGTAAGAGTGAAGTTAGCTGTCCCAATACTTGGTTTGCTTTACTGCATCAGGTGTCAGCTTCTTTCTCCATCTTCTGTGAATATTGCTCCCAGATATTAAAACTTAAATGCTTGTTTAATCACTTTGTTTACTGTTGCTATATTTGAGTTATGCTGCTTTCTTCCCATTGATATTACTTCTTTTTTATTTTTTGCATTATAATTTTTTATTTGCTTCACATTTTTCATTTATGGATGTGAAATTTTGTTAAAATGTTATGACTGTACCTGCTATCAAGGCTTGGTCATCAGCAAAGCATAGTTTATTAGTGTTAATAATATTTTTATTCTTGGGCTTGGACTCCTAACTTATACTGTCGATGTCGGTGATAAACAGAAGGGGTGATAAAATACTTCCTGTCTTACTCCAGATGTTACTGTTAATTGTTCCAGTGTTCCCTTTTTTTAATTCTAACGATGCTTCTACAGTCCCTGTATCAACTCTTCCCACTCTGATGAGATGTTCATTTACTCCATATCAAGTTATTATTTTCTCTAAAACTTATTTAAGTGTCCAGCAATGACATGAAGAGGATGTAGGTCGATAGACAGCATGGGCAATAGCAGATCAGACAAATATGCTGCCCTTGTGGGTTCCGGGGTCCCATTATCCCATTTTGGGGAAACAAAGAATAGACCTGTTGCCCCACTCCCAAACAAGCATGTCATAAGAGGCAACTATTAAGGTATGTTTCCATCGAAATTGGAGTGCATCTGTCTGAGAGGCAAGGAACCAACAGTCTGCATACAAATATGTCATATCTGTAGATGAGATGGATGTGCATGCAAAACTCTGGTTCTGGATCAAGGCCAAAGTCCAGGAGTGGGTGGACAACTAGAACTTTTTACCATAATTTACAGCCGGTGAACACGAAGAAGAAGAAAAAGAAGAGTCAGATAAGTAGAGGCCTTTTTATTTTAGCGGCATACAGGGCAAATGATACTAGACTAATATTTTATAGAACAATCGGCACTCGATGGTTGATGCTCGGCATCACACCAGCCGCCTTTACTTCCCAGGAATTTATCTGCAACCTGTTTTAGGCTGGGTTTGAGCTGGCAGCTTAAATCAGATGTTTTAAAAATCCCCCTGGATGTAGATTGAACCTTGAACTTTGAGGCCTGCAGCTGAGCATCTAGATACTTAGCTACCATGGCTGCCAAATAATACAACAGATCACACCATTAATATGTATGACATCTGCAAGATATCGTGGCTTCAAGTAACAGACAGCTACACGTAATAAATATGTGCATGTGTGTAAGGTATGTCATCTGGTATTAATAAACTCATTCACTTGAACACAACCAAGTTTTAGATCAGTATGTTATTTGAATGTAGTATGCATATGTAAGTAGATTGTCAAGTGACTTGTCCAGGAACTATTTCTGCCAGTGTATAAATGTATATAAAAAACAGGCACACATAAGATTTCAAATTATTTTTGATTGAACGTGTTCAATAAACTTATATAAGGTGGAACATTTCGAACACTGTGTTTGACTTTATTTCTTTGAACTTGATGAGTAATACGAACAGTATGGCAGACATTGTGTGACTGGGTTTTACACAGTTTATTTTAGTTTGATGGGTAATACATAAAATATGGCAGACTTTATGGATGTGTGTCGGAGAATTTCTTCTAACGTGATCAATATTATTATCCGTCTTCACTTCCTCTTTCACAGCTTCAGGTGTCTGTCAGGTTCTGCTTTTTGCTCTGCTGTCCACCTTGACCTTGGGTGGCACTCTTTGTCCACCCATGCTCTATGTTCCTTTCCTCTTTTGGTTATGCCTTGTATGAAATTGTGTCTTAAGGCATTCTCTCTTAATGGTCATACATTGTATTTACTGTCTTTCTGTGTAATTTTGAATGAGTTCTGAGCCATCTTTGTCAACTCGATGAGTGATACGCAGAGTATGGCTGGCTTTATGAATAGTGTCTTACGCAATTTCTTCTAATTTTAGGATTTTTCTTATTGCAGCCAAACCTCATTAACATGAACTAGTTTAAAAGAGAACACTCGGATAACATGAACACAATTTTGGTCACAGCCGGGATGGATTAATTTGAGTCACTGGTTAGCACAAATTTGTTTAATACAGCACTTTAGTTTTTCCATTCCTTGAAGTTTTGTCTTTACAAGGTTTTACTGATAAACTTTCTGAACAATGTGTTGCATAATTTCTTCAAAGTTTATGATTAGCTTGTAAAGTACAGTTAAGGACCCTTTTTCATGCTTCAGGTGTATTGGGCACATAGGGCTAGACCTATATTTTATAGACCAGTCAGCGCTTGGCTCATTGGCCACATGATTGACTTGTACAATATTGCTGGTTTGGTGAGCAGTGTTTCATATTATTTCTTCTAACTTGATGATTGAAACATAGTAAAGTAAGGCAAAGGAGCCTTTTTGTGCCTTCAGTCGTATTGGGCATATAGGGCTAGACCTAAATTTTATGGAACAGTCAATGCTTATTGGATGATATGGTCAGCTTCATGACAGCCACATGATTGACTTGTACAGTATTGCCAGTTTCGTGAGCAGTGCTTCATATAATTTCTTCTAACTTGATGATTGACACATAGTAAAGTAGGGCAAACAACCCTTTTCCATGCCTTTATGTATGTTGGGCATATAGGGCTAGACATATATTTTAGTTCAGTCGATGCTCAATAGGTGATGTGATGAGGGACACAGGACTTTAGCAGGTACCCATTTAAGGCTAGGCCAATTTGAAGCCATAGTCATTTTTGATAAAAGTCCTGTTTGGATTTGAACCCACAGCCTTCAGATATGTGGGTAACCATCTAGCAGCTACACCACAACGGCTCCCACATGACACATACAAGAAGATATTTTTCTAAAAAAAGACAAAGTAACAACAATTCTGACAAACATGTCTCGTTCAGGCACATGCAACAGTTCTGGGGAGCATCCGGGGATTTCTGGCAGCGGCAGTGGGAAAATATGTTTGCCTTCTTTGGACACAGTGAAATACTTCTATTCATTTTTGGTAAGTAGTGCAATCTAAACCACTTGCAAGCTCCTGTCATGTTGGGATAATGTCTAGTTAACTGGCCTGGGGCTGCACATTGTTTGGGATAATGTCTAGTTAACTGGCCTGGGGCTGCACATAGTTCTTTTCATCTGCCGTTCATTCCCCCCCAGTGAACTCATAACTGATTCAAGCTGGGTCTTTTGCTGTTGAGTGCTCACATGTCATAACTTTCACATGTCACAACATTCACATGTCATAAAGATCATGTTTCACAAAGTCTACATATCACAACTTCACATCTCACAAAGTTAAAATGGCAGCAAGTTTACATTCCAGATTTAGTTTAACATAAATAAAGTTTACATTTCATGAAGCTCACAGTTCACAAAATTTACATCAGTAGGTTCACGTGTCACAAAGTCCACATGTGACAAAATTGACATTTCACTCATCGTGTGATTAGCAAAACTTTTACTAGGTCTGCTGATTGTCTGCCTGGTCCCATCAGGTGACTTTCCTCCGGGCCTGATATTCTGTTGACAGACATCGAACTACGTGTCCTTTCATTCTAGGTCATTAGTTTTCAAAGTTTTTCAGGTCTCCCCTCCCCCTCCCTCCCCTCCCCTCCCCTCCCCCTCCTCCTCCTCCTTTTTTTTGAATATTTGACAAGGAACCCTCCGTTTCCCCTCTTTCCACCCCCCCCCCCCCCATTCTACTACCCTTGACTTAAAAAAAATGGTGATTAAAATGAAAAGAAAAAATACCAAGCACTGTTAGCAGAACTTGAAGAAAAACATCTACATCACTGGAAGTGTCAAAAAACATAACATGGCTTTTTTATTTTATCTATAGTTTTCAAAATCAAAAACAAAAAATCAGACTGAAAAATAGATTATTATTACAGGTTCTAAAAAAATTGATTGATACCCCCTTTGCAACTTTATCCCCCCTCCCAGGGGAAGACCACTCTTCTAGGCTGTCATTTCAGGCAATGTTGCTCTTGCTGTTTAAAAGTTAAAAAACAATTAAACATAAAGTCAAGAGGGTCAAATTTGTATGATCCCATATGCCTCAATCTTTCTAAGCAGAAGAGCTAGCCGCCTGCTGAGAGTGCCACACAAAGTACGGATGCTGTAGCTCTGGTGATGAGCCCAAGAGGTCTCTGTAAAAATGCATATGTGAACCGAACAACGCAGCCATGAAACAAACCCATGACCTTCAGAGCAGGTTAAATGGCTTGACCTCTTTGTCATGGATGGGCACATATTTACTACTTGGAATGTGGCAAAGATGACATTTCTGTTTAGGGTTTGTGGTTAGCTGACTCAATTAACTGTACAAGAGTCCCTGTTCAGTTTCAGTTTGTGTTAGACCTGGGCTTCAAAAAGTTACTGATTTTGATTAAACCCATCCTGATAAAAAATCACTGTAAATGACTCAAACATCACTCAAACATCACTCAAACATCACTCAAACATCACTCAAACATCACTCAAACATCACTCAAACATCACTCAAACATCACTCAAACATCACTCAAACATCACTCAAACATCACTCAAACATCACTCAAACATCACTCAAACATCACTCAAACATCACTCAAACATCACTCAAACATCACTCAAACATGACTCATACATCACTCAAACATCACTCATACATCACTCAAACATCACTCAAACATCACTCAAACATCACTCAAACATCACTCAAACATCACTCAAACATCACTCAAACATCACTCAAACATCACTCAAACATCACTCATACATCACTCATACATCACTTAAACATCACTCAAACATCACTCAAACATCACTCAAACATCACTCAAACATCACTCATACATCACTCAAACATGACTCATACATCACTCATACATCACTCAAACATCACTCAAACATGACTCATACATCACTCAAACATGACTCATACATCACTCAAACATGACCCATACATCACTCAAACATCACTCATACATCACTCATACATCACTCAAACATGACTCATACATCACTCAAACATCACTCATACATCACTCAAACATGACTCAAACATCACTCACACATCACTCAAACATCACTCAAACATCACTCAAACATCACTCAAACATCACTCATACATCACTCATACATGACTCATACATCACTCAAACATGACTCATACATCACTCAAACATCACTCATACATCACTCAAACATGACTCATACATCACTCAAACATCACTCATACATCACTCAAACATGACTCATACATCACTCAAACATCACTCAAACAAACATCACTCAAACATCACTCAAACATCACTCAAACATCACTCATACATCACAGTATGGAGCAAAAACTAAGACAGTGAGCTGGTGTTGCTTCTTCCTCTTCTTCTTCTTTTCCTCCTCCTCCTTCTTCTTCTGCTCTTCCTCTTCCTGCTCCTCCTCTTCCTGCTCCTTTTCTTTTTCTTCTTTCTCCTCCTCTTCTTCTTTCTCTTCTTCTTCTGCTTCTTCTCTAGTTGTGTTCTGTCTTCCAGCATCAGGTTTTGAACAGGCATGTATGTGCTACAAAATAATGCTGGTATTTATGGCCTTGGATATTCCATCTATCCATCGCCTACGTGGTTTACCAGACAAGGCGCAAGCAGTTAGATAATTGAATTGAGCCTATGGCGATGTGAATCTACCGAAGAAAAGGCGATGGAAACAAAATTATTCAAACACTCAGGTTCTGAACAGACGGGGAATGAAAAGAGAGTTGTCAAAAAACATTAAACATGACAAAAACAAACAAAAAATCAATTATTTTAGCGGCATCAAAAGACATAACACTCTTTTAAAAACCACACGAGGCAAAAGTCGGAGGCGGAGGTAGACAATGATACAAGTGGGAGGACAACATCAAGAGATGGGAGAACAACAGTCTGAGAAAATTTACTACTACGTCAAGTGACGGATTATGTTGGAGATCCATGGCAGCCAACTTTCATTGTGGAGATGGCACCTGGTTGATTTTGGGCCTGATCAAATGGGCATCAGTTAATTGCAGTTTAAAATTCATTCATTTATTAACTAATTTTTTTTTACGTATTGTCATTTTCATCCTTTCTTCTCTCTTCCTTGTTCTCCTGATTCTCCCATCCTTTGCCTTCACTCCCTAATCTTCCTCATTCTTCTTGTTCATCATCTCCTTCTCCTCATCGTCTTCTTCTTCTTCTACTACATCTTCTTCCTGTTCCACCTCTTCCTGCAGAAAGCAGTAATCAACCAGAGTTTACTAGAATCTGCCCAAAGTTTGTCCCAGAATGGCACTGTTCTGAACCTGCTCCATTTCTCTCTGTTTTCTGTCTCAGACACTGCCAGCAAATATCAGTCTTGTCATGTGACCATTTCCGTACTTAGATTCATGAGTAGTCCTTTGACCAAGTGACATTTCTTGAAGTTACTCTGGTAAATCACGTGACTTTCACCCTGGTAAATCACATGACTTTTACCCTGGTAAATCACGTGAATTTCACCCTGGTAAATCACACGACTTTCACCCTGGTAAATCATATGACTTTCACCCTGGTAAACCACATGACTTTCACCCTGGTAAATCACATGTCTTTCACCCTGGTAAATCACGTGACTTTTACCCTGTTAAATCACATGACTTTCACCCTGGTAAATCACGTGACTTTCACCCTGGTAAATCACATGACTTTCACCCTGGTAAATCACATGACTTTCACCCTGGTAAATCACATGACTTTCACCCTGGTAAATCACATGACTTTCACCCTGGTAAATCACATGACTGTCACCCTGGTAAATCACATGACTGTCACCCTGGTAAATCACATGACTTTCACCCTGGTAAATCACATGACTTTCACCCTGGTAAATCACATGACTTTCACCCTGGTAAATCACATGACTGTCACCCTGGTAAATCATATGACTTTCACCCTGGTAAATCACATGACTTTCACCCTGGTAAATCACATGACTTTCACCCTGGTAAATCACATGACTTTTACACTGGTAAATCACATGACTGTAGTGAATTTCTGGTGACTGGATGAACATAATATCATGAGACCATGTGATATGCATTTCAGGGGAATTAATTCAGTTTTTGTGTTTTATTATAATCCTCTTCTTCTTTTGATGTTACTCTACAGTAATGCACCTGACGAGATTCAGTAAATTATACCAGACAGTAAATTGTGTAATATATTGTTTGTCTCTTCATTATTTACATTCCCTACAGAAAACATTGTTTCGAATAAAAAACACATTTATGTTTACAGGATCGTTCATCTACACAACAGTGATTTTCTGGTCAGCAAATTTTGTCTTTATCCTGCTGGACATGACGGGATGGCCATCCTTTCTGGTCAAGTATAAAATTCAGACAGACAAAAACTGCCCGGTAGGCCAGACTGTCAGATTTGGTTTAAACTGTCTTATTTTTTATGTTAAGATATGTTTGAACTGCTTGATAGGTAGGTAGGTAAGTTGTAAACCACCAGAACATCACACAAGCGACAAACACCCGGTGACACAAAGTGCCACCATGCGGATGAGGGTCACCTGCGGAAAGGTCCCAGAAACCCCTTTCAGCCGTTAGGCCATATTTACGACTCGGCTATATTCAGGGCTCCCGACGAAAGCTAGGGTGGGGCTTCAAATAACGAAAAATGGCACCCCACATGGGGACGACTGATATTTAACAGCTTGATCTGTTTCCTAATCAGTGAAGGGCTGAAACCTGTAGAAATTCATCGGTGATTGAAGTTCCAATATGGTGGTGCATGCTTGTCTGTCCTGCCAGTGTATGAGTGGAGTAGAAAGTTTCAGAACAGCGTCACTTCTTTGATTGATTCATGGCCAGGTCAGGCACACAGAGTTGTGACCCACGGAGTCGATTGCAGCCATGTTGACACTTTCTTGCCCACTCCACTTGGTGGACTGCCAGGCATGGATAACCGGGCTGGATCTTCATTCACCAATGAATTTCTATGATGTTGTTGTTCATGATGATGATGATGATAAAAATGTTTGTTGTTAGTAGGGCTGTACCGAATAGTGATTTTCACTATTCGGCCGAATATGAATAACGGGACCAACTATTCGGCCGAATACGAATACGAATACGAATAGTGTATAAAAATTTGTCTTGAAAAAAAAACCCACACATTCATAATGTCAAATGTACGCTGAATTTTTACTTCACATAAAGTAGCACAGAATAGTCATCTTCTTCTTTAGCATTTTGAGCCCTTGAGGTTTATTGCTGCAGATATCACTCGTCTCTGTTCATCTCTCTGGCTGGCCTTCTCTTCACAATTTGTGACACCAGCTGTTTGCAGGTCTGGCTGGATATTATCTCTCGATCTTCTTTTTTGTCTGCCTCGTGGTCTACGCCCATTCCTCTCTCAGGTGTATACAGTTTTACTTCTCTGCCTTCTGATATTCTTTCAGTATGCCCCAATCATTTTAGTCTGTTAGCTCTCATGATGCCAGTGATCAATGGTGATTTAAACAGATTATATGTTACGTTGTTGCTTCTCACTCTCCATTCCCCGCTGTTAGCGTCTTTGATGGGTCCAAAGATTTGTCGTAAGACTGTTTTCGAAAACTTGTAATAAGGCCTCATCTTTTTATTTCTGCTTCAAGTTTCAGAGCCATATAAAACGACTCGTCTTATCAACGTTTTATGTATTTTGATCTTGTTGTTGCGAGACAGACACTTTGACTTTAGCAGATGTTGAAGGGCATAGTATACTCTATTTCTAGATTGTATTCAAGATTGTATTTCTTCTCTCAGCATGTTGGAGCAGTTGAAGTTTGCACCCAAGTACGTATATGTTTCCGTTCGTTTGATTTTCACAATATTGACTTGGATGTAGCCGGAGTTTATATTCTTTCCATGTCTAGTTAGTATTCGTACAGAATAGTAAACATTTAAAAACATTTTATGTTTTGCATCCTTCAGTCAGTCTGTGGTAACTAATAACTAGGAATGAAAGGATCCTAAGTATTATAACAAGTAACTAAACTTGTAAATTGTCACTGACAGATTAGTTATGCATGAAAGCTGCATTAGCTTTCATCAAAACCAATCGTTTCATGTTTTCAGTATTAAGGCCATGTATGCAGAAGCGGGTGTAAGGTAAACTGCTATTCGTATTCGGCCCGACCGCAACTATTCGGCCGAATACCGAATAGTCAATAGGTCCACTATTCGGCCCCGAAGCGAATACGAAGCGAATATTCGGTACAGCCCTAGTTGTTAGTAAGGATGATTATGTTTGGTGATGATGATGTTGTTTGGTGATGTTGTTTGGTTATTATGATGATGTTGTTTGGTAATGATTTTTTGGTGATAATAATATTTGATGATGATGATGATGATAATATTTGATTATGAAAATGATGATAGTTCTGATGACGGTGATGAAAATGGTGATACTTTTCATAATAATAGTGCTGATAATGTTGATGACAGTGATGATGATATTGCTGATGATGACATTGATAATGATATTGCTAATAGTGATGATGGTTGATCATGATACAAGCATTGTATTTTTGCTTGAAGCTGAAGATGTCAGATTTGAAACGAGCCATCAAGACTGCATTGTTTAACCAAACTGTGGTGGGCTTGCCCTTCACGGTCCTTCTCTACTTGCTGATGCGATGGAGGGGCTGCTCTGGGTCTCCAGTAGACCTGCCAACCTTCCACTGGGCTGTTGTTGAGATGATTGTCTTCACTCTCATTGAGGAAATTTGTTTCTATTATTCTCACAGGTAGAATTCTCTTCTTCTTTTCCTCATCTTACTCTGTCTCCGTTTTTTTCCTCTTCTTTTCCTCCTTCTTCATCTTCTCCTCCCCTTCTCCACCACCTCCTCCTCTTCTTCTTCCTCTTCTTCTTTTGTCTTTACTGCTGCTTCTGCTGTTTCTTTTAATTCTTCTTCTTCTTCTTCTTCTTCTTCTTCTTCTTCTTATAATTATTCTTCTTCATCTTCTCCTCCTTCTCCATTTCTTCATCTTTTCTTATTTGTTTACTTCTGCTGCTCATCCTCTTCTTAATTTTCTTATTGTTGTGCTCCTCCTCCTTCTCAATCTTCTTCTTCTGCTGCTTCTACTCTTCCTTCTCACCTCAATCTTGTTCTTCTTCTGCTCCTTCTACTGGTCCTCTTCCTTCTCAGTCTTCATCTTCTTCTTTTTCTGCTGCTTCTAATCCTCCTCCTCTTTCTCAGTTTTCTTCTTTTTCTGCTCCTACTCCTCCTCCTCCTACTCTTCCTCCTCAGTCTTATTCTTCTTCTGCTGCTGCTTCTTTTTCTTCTCTTCCTCTTCTTCTTATTTTTCTTCAGTGTTTGCATGTACAGGGCTGTTAATATAGTGTTTGATGATTTATAACTAGACTGTGGCCTTTGGACGCAAGACATCTGATATTAGTAAAGTCTTTCATTAGCCACATTTTGCTACATGTTCATTAAGAGCAATGGTAGATTAGTTTCCACACAAGGCCACTGAATCTGTCAGAATTACTGTCTTCAGTTTTTACCTCGAAGACAGCATAGATGTGCTCAGTATAGATGTACAAGTGCTCATACTACCCAAATATATAAACATATATATTAAAAGTTAGTTGAGTATTCTTTATAGGACTTTGCAGAACCAACGCCAGCATTTTTTGGCTGTTGTGGTTTTTGTGGAAACATGTTTTGTTCAGTATTAAGCCATATCTTTCTGATTGGTCAAGTCTCGGTACCACTGTCAGAACCAACAGAAGACGTTCTGCTGCTAAATAGTGTGCAGCTGGGATCGAACCTGGCACCCTGGCATTATGTTTATATAAATAAATAAATAAATATATATATATATATATATATATATATATATATATATATATATATATATATATATATATATATATATATATATATATATATATATATATATATATATATATATATAAATAAAATATTGTTCATGTTCTTTCACTACCAAGAAATCTACATATATATATATAATGTTTTTCATATTCTTCCATTACTTACAGATCTACACTGATATAAGTATGTTGTTTCATCTTCTCCACCACTCCGAGATCTAAAGATAAGTAATATTGTTGTTCATGGTCTTCCACCACTCAAAGATCTACGGGTTAAACGTTGCTTAGGTTCTTCCACCATCCAATGATCTACAGATATATAACTTTTCTCTTTAATGATCTTTCACTACCTATAAATCTACAGTTAATAATTTTATTGTTTAGCCCCCCCCCCCCCCCCCCCCCCCCCCACCCCCCCCCCCCCCCCCCCCCCCCCCCCCCCCCCCCCCCCCCTCCTTCCCCCATCTATAATTTATAATGTTTAGGCTCTTCGCACACCCAGAAATGTAAAATTTATAACGTTGCTCATGCTGTTCCGCCACCTGCAAATCTACAATTTATCTTTTGTTAAGGCTGTTCCACCACCCAAAGATCTACAAGTACGTTCACAAGATGCACCATGAGTGGACTGCTCCCATCGGGATTGTTTCCATCTACGCGCACCCTGTGGAGCACATGATCAGCAACATGCTGCCTCCAGCTCTTGGGCCTCTACTCTTGGGCTCTCATCTGGCCACTGCTTGGATGTTTTGGGCGTTGGCCCTCTTGTCCACAACCATTGCCCACTGTGGGTATCACTTGCCGCTGCTGCCTTCACCAGAGGCCCACGATTATCATCATCTGAAGTAAGTCAAACTGGCATGTCACACTGGATTGCCTGAACTGTGTCAAGAAGGGGGAATGCCCAGGCTGTGTTCTTATCTGGTGGTCAGAAGGTCTTAGCTTTAACAAAACCTCATCACGGCCACTTAAAAAAAAAATTACTTGGGGCTTACAAGTAGAATAAAGCCTAATGGCCACCTGGAAATATCATGGAAGGCAAAAGCAGCTAGATGTTATTCTGGGTTTTAATCTTCTTCTTCTTTGTCTTCACCGGACATAAACCCGGTAGAAAGTTTTGCTTATTGATTACTCCTAGAGTTTGAACTTAATCCAGAACTTGAGTTTGGCATGCGCATCCCGTTTATAGATCTGGCTTATTTGTGTGCAGACTGTTGGTTCCCTGTCTCTCAGGCAGATGCATTCTGACTTTAAAGGAAAGCTCTTAATAAATCGCCCCCTGTGACATGCTTGATCGAGGTGGAGGGGTGGGAGGCAATAGGTCTGTTCTCCAAAATGAGACTGCAGAACTCATACAGGACGGTTATATAGTCTAAACATTGGCAAGAAGGAAGAAGCTGAAGCACAGTGACCAGATGTTTGTCTGCTGACCTGAAGGTTCTGGGTTCGAATCTGCATCAGGACCGATTTAAAAAACAAAATAATTGACATAGAGCTCTCAGGTCAGCCCAGCTTTAAATGGGCACCAGGAAATATCCTACGAGGCAAAGGCAGATGTTGTGGTTTTGTCTACATTTATTAGGTTCCATTTCATTATTTTCCAGTATGAGTTTTGGAGCCCTATTGTTTTTGGGAAAAGGGGGAGTGGGGGGTAGACTCACTGCCTCCCCAGCAAACAAGTCGCATAGGATGACTAGTTCGAAGCGTTTCCATAGAAATCAGTGTTTCTGTTTGAGAGGTTAGGAACCAACAGTTGAAACAGATAAGCCAGATCTGTAAGCCAGGTCTGTAAGCCAGACCTGTAAGCCAGACCTGTAAGCCAGATCTGTAAGCCAGACCTGTAAGCCAGACCTCTAAGCCAGACCTGTAAGCCAGATCTGTAAGCCAGACCTGTAAGCCAGACCTGTAAGCCAGACCTGTAAGCCAGATCTGTAAGCCAGATCTGTAAGCTAGATCTGTAAGCCAGACCTGTAAGCCAGATCTGTAAGCCAGACCTGTAAGCCAGATCTGTAAGCCAGACCTGTAAGCCAGATCTGTAAGCCAGATCTGTAAGCCAGATCTGTAAGCCAGATGTGCACACAAACCTCAAGTTCTGGAACAAGACCAAAGTCCAGAAGTGGTTGAACAACCAGAACTTGTCTCTGAAGTTTACAACTGGTAAATGCTATGAAAAAAAGAAGATGATGAAGACACAGACCAAGGATAATTGTCGGGAAAAATCTAATGGAAGAAAAACATTGTGTTGCAGAAGTAAGAAAGAGACTATGGTTTTTGTTCATGTGATGACCTTGTGTTGGTTGCAGGACCTCATTTTAAGGAAATATCGACTAGGACAATAGGGGCAGGGAACAGTTTCTGTGGGTAAAGGGCCTTTCTTGCCTACTAGCAGCTGGCCACTCAGTGAAGCGAGATAACTCCGTAAGGGGTAAAATCTGATGTGATAAAGTTTGATTCTTTCACCTTTAATATTTGTAATATCTAGACTCCCTGTGTGAGTGCAGATTCACAACATGGCTGCAAACCACAATACAGTATGCCAGCCACCCTCTTAACCCTTTCACGTCGGAAACGTTTTTAAAAGAATGACCTTTTGTCAGATTTTGTGAAAAAGAAATGCATTGTTATAATTCTCTGAACTCTAAGAAATTCTGCTGCTTCTGCTCTTATCCCCCATTGGAGCATAGGCCCTCATCTAGCTCTCTCTCCCATAGCTTGCCATTTTCTAATTTAACACAGACCATATTGGGTACATTCAGGAAGCATTCAAAATTAAATTTGCAGCTCAATGTGTTGCCCTGTGCACTCAGATCAGTAGCTGGGTGTTGGGAATACATAATTTTATTTTGGGGGGTGGAAGGGGGGGGGGGGGGAGGGGGGGCGCAACATCTAATCGTGGCCAAAAGGAAATAATTTGCCAAGACTAAAATAACCAGCATGCCTTTCTGCCAGATTGAACTGGAATTGTTCCATATTGCTAATGTGATGCTGTAGTACTATGTGACTCCTGTTCTGTGCTTTCAGCATTCAGTAAAAACACAACAACTTAAGGTGCTTCAAACATCATTACAGGTGTAGTCAAGTAAAGTAAAGGTCTCTTTTCCACGCCTTTAGGCATATAGGGTAAGACCTATATTTTTATAGACCAATTGGCACAAGATGGGTGATGTGGTCAGCATCACGTTGGCCGCCTTTACTTCCCATAACTGCACCCAGTACCCACTTAAAGCTGGGTCGACCAGGGATTCAAAGTCATTTTTTAAAAAAGTATATCTCCGCCAAGTAGCGAATGCAAGACCTTCCGATCCACATGCGATCGTCTAGCCACTATGCCACGGCGACTCCCATTTCAGGTGCACTTATGATTTTTTTTAGATAACCTTTTTACCTCTCTCCTCATTCTCAGGTTTAACCAGAACTATGGTGTTCTCGGGGTCCTTGATCGACTTCACGGAACTGATGCACAGTTCCGCCAATCTCTGAGTTTCCAGCGACATTTTTTGTTGCTGTCAACTGTTCCAGTATCACAACAAGTGCCAGAGGTGGCCAAGAAGAAGTCGTAGGAAGAGAAGATTTGTTTGTCTCTAAAGTGCTCGTCTGTGGGATGCCATTTGTTGATTTTTTGCCGAAGTTTACCATAGCCAGAATTGTGGATATTTTTCATGCAATGTTTGCTTTCAATATTGTATTGTGATATTTTTGGAGAAATTTTCACAACATGGATCATAATGTTATTGTATTATAAACCTGAATCAGTCAGTCAGTGCTGTCTGCACAGTGATGGTTGGCTGCCAGTTAGTGCTGTCTGCACAGTGATGGTTGGCTGCCAGTTAGTGCTGTCTGCACAGTGATGGTTGGCTGCCAGTTAGTGCTGTCTGCACAATGATGATTGGCTGCCAGTTAGTGCTGTCTGCACAGTGATGGTTGGCTGCCAGTTAGTGCTGTCTGCACAGTGATGGTTGGCTGCCAGTTAGTGCTGTCTGCACAGTGATGGTTGGCTGCCAGTTAGTGCTGTCTGCACAGTGATGGTTGGCTGCCAGTTAGTGTTGTCTGCACAGTGATGGTTGGCTGCCAGTTAGTGCTGTCTGCACAGTGATGGTTGGCTGCCAGTTAGTGCTGTCTGCACAGTGATGGTTGGCTGCCAGTCAGTGCTGTCTGCACAATGATGATTGGCTGCCAGTTAGTGCTGTCTGCACAGTGATGGTTGGCTGCCAGTTAGTGCTGTCTGCACAGTGATGGTTGGCTGCCAGTCAGTGCTGTCTGCACAATGATGATTGGCTGCCAGTTAGTGCTGTCTGCACAGTGATGGTTGGCTGCCAGTTAGTGCTGTCTGCACAGTGATGGTTGGCTGCCAGTTAGTGCTGTCTGCACAGTGATGGTTGGCTGCCAGTTAGTGCTGTCTGCACAGTGATGGTTGGCTGCCAGTCAGTGCTGTCTGCACAGTGATGGTTGGCTGCCAGTCAGTGCTGTCTGCACAGTGATGGTTGGCTGCCAGTTAGTGCTGTCTGCACAGTGATGGTTGGCTGCCAGTCAGTGCTGTCTGCACAGTGATGGTTGGCTGCCAGTCAGTGCTGTCTGCACAGTGATGGTTGGCTGCCAGTTAGTGCTGTCTGCACAGTGATGGTTGGCTGCCAGTTAGTGCTGTCTGCACAGTGATGGTTGGCTGCCAGTTAGTGCTGTCTGCACAGTGATGGTTGGCTGCCAGTTAGTGCTGTCTGCACAATGATGATTGGCTGCCAGTTAGTGCTGTCTGCACAGTGATGGTTGGCTGCCAGTTAGTGCTGTCTGCACAGTGATGGTTGGCTGCCAGTTAGTGCTGTCTGCACAGTGATGGTTGGCTGCCAGTTAGTGCTGTCTGCACAGTGATGGTTGGCTGCCAGTTAGTGTTGTCTGCACAGTGATGGTTGGCTGCCAGTTAGTGCTGTCTGCACAGTGATGGTTGGCTGCCAGTTAGTGCTGTCTGCACAGTGATGGTTGGCTGCCAGTCAGTGCTGTCTGCACAATGATGATTGGCTGCCAGTTAGTGCTGTCTGCACAGTGATGGTTGGCTGCCAGTTAGTGCTGTCTGCACAGTGATGGTTGGCTGCCAGTCAGTGCTGTCTGCACAATGATGATTGGCTGCCAGTTAGTGCTGTCTGCACAGTGATGGTTGGCTGCCAGTTAGTGCTGTCTGCACAGTGATGGTTGGCTGCCAGTTAGTGCTGTCTGCACAGTGATGGTTGGCTGCCAGTTAGTGCTGTCTGCACAGTGATGGTTGGCTGCCAGTCAGTGCTGTCTGCACAGTGATGGTTGGCTGCCAGTCAGTGCTGTCTGCACAGTGATGGTTGGCTGCCAGTTAGTGCTGTCTGCACAGTGATGGTTGGCTGCCAGTCAGTGCTGTCTGCACAGTGATGGTTGGCTGCCAGTCAGTGCTGTCTGCACAGTGATGGTTGGCTGCCAGTTAGTGCTGTCTGCACAGTGATGGTTGGCTGCCAGTTAGTGCTGTCTGCACAGTGATGGTTGGCTGCCAGTCAGTGCTGTCTGCACAGTGATGGTTGGCTGCCAGTTAGTGCTGTCTGCACAGTGATGGTTGGCTGCCAGTCAGTGCTGTCTGCACAGTGATGGTTGGCTGCCAGTCAGTGCTGTCTGCACAGTGATGGTTGGCTGCCAGTTAGTGCTGTCTGCACAGTGATGGTTGGCTGCCAGTCAGTGCTGTCTGCACAGTGATGGTTGGCTGCCAGTCAGTGCTGTCTGCACAGTGATGGTTGGCTGCCAGTTAGTGCTGTCTGCACAGTGATGGTTGGCTGCCAGTTAGTGCTGTCTGCACAGTGATGGTTGGCTGCCAGTCAGTGCTGTCTGCACAGTGATGGTTGGCTGCCAGTTAGTGCTGTCTGCACAGTGATGGTTGGCTGCCAGTTAGTGCTGTCTGCACAGTGATGGTTGGCTGCCAGTTAGTGCTGTCTGCACAGTGATGGTTGGCTGCCAGTCAGTGCTGTCTGCACAGTGATGGTTGGCTGCCAGTTAGTGCTGTCTGCACAGTGATGGTTGGCTGCCAGTCAGTGCTGTCTGCACAGTGATGGTTGGCTGCCAGTTAGTGCTGTCTGCACAGTGATGGTTGGCTGCCAGTCAGTGCTGTCTGCACAGTGATGGTTGGCTGCCAGTTAGTGCTGTCTGCACAATGATGGTTGGCTGCCAGTTAGTGCTGTCTGTACAATGATGGTTGGCTTCTCCAACACTGTCTGTCTCTTGTCTTGGTTGTACAGTCTCTCAGACTGCTGTTTGTCCTTCTCATGATGTTCTCAATTCCCTTTAATCATTGTCTTCCTCTTGTTCTCATGCCTTCAACTTTTCAATATAGTTTTTAAAAGAGTGTAATGTCTTTTAATGTAAGTAAAATATATAAGTATTAACTTCAATAGAGGCAATTAAATCAAATAATAGGATCATTGATCCAGAGCTTTGGGAGAGAACTGAACACATTCCTTATGGGTCTGTGGCTTAGAGGTTAATAAATACATTTAACAGTTTTCATTTCCTCAGTTAGCAGGGTTTGACTTCCACTGTGGAAGACTTATTCTTCTTCTTCTTTGGTTTGCTTGAAATAAATTATCTGCAACAATGTCTCTAGTATGAACTTCACTGTCTGTTGTAACTTATTTAGCGGCCTGTGAAGTTGGCTTTCACCAGTGTTTTGGAGGATGTGATCTGTTGTCTCGGGTGCCAGTCCACATGTCCACATGGCTGATTGGCCAATCTTAAATTTTGAATACATGTGGTTGCAAAGTCGATTGTGCCCTGTTCTTAGGCTTATGGAGGGCTTATGTTTAAAAAAACACATAAATACATTAATAAATAAAGAATGAAAGAGAAGAAAAACTGTGTTCGTGGTTTTTGGACAGTACAGGAGTCACACTGTGGAAGAAATTAGGGCCTCGAGACATAGTACCCCCACGTCAGAGGTGGGTACACTGTAGCCAACCTTCACTGATGAAATGGCATTGAATTAAAATTTAAAAAATGTCCAGTAAATAAAGAAGTGAGGAAAAGATGACGTACTGGATAGTACGCACGTTGAGAAAACCGGATCAGAATTTAATTGTGTGCACTAGTACTGGAACCCACATGGTTAAAGAAATAAAGGGGAACAACTGAGTCAGTTCAGATCCCTTTTACCACATGAGTAAAGTTCTTTGCCCATTTGGACAGGCATCCCTGAATATGGAATATGTGCTGCAGACGTGCTGTTTGCATGCAGCAGGGAGATCCCAGGTGTGGCTGGTTATCACTCCGTTGTAAACCAGGCTGAATGGATCGGTGGGGGACAGGTGCCACACCACAGCTTTCATAGAGGCATGTGACCTTTCCCTTTGAGAACCAGGTGCAGGGAGAACGAATAAAAGAAGAAGTTCTATCCATACTCCATTGTTTGGGGGTTCGCTGGAATAACTCAGATATATTTCTGAATGTGATGTCTTTACATTTTGGTTTCCCTGTTCATTTTGTTATTTTCAGGCCACTCAAATATACCTAAAATATATGATTATTGTCTTCACATGTTTGCTCCCGATTTATAAAAGTGATTTTGAGTTTTCATGTTTGAAATATGCTTCTTAAATTTGTACATTTTTGTTTGAGTTTATATAAATGAGAACAACATCTCAGTATCTGCTTGCATGTTTTTTCCGCCCAAATATTAGTTTGTAATGTTCATTCAGTTTACACAGATTGTCCATGCACCTCCCTAATTAGGTGATGGTTGTTATACTTTTTTTTTTTTAAGGTAGTGAATTCTAGTGATAAGATTGTCAGATAATTTTTTTTAACTGATGAGATTTTAACTCTGTTGCCCTGAGATGGCTAAATCTGGTCAGTTCCAGTCGCGACAAATTATTCAAAGTGCTGATATGTGGTAATTTCTGCAGTGACCTGTTCTCGAAATGGGCAGTTAAATGACATTGGTTCTGTGTGCACCTGTACAATTTTTATATGCCAGAATATGAATAAAATGGCTAAAAATAGCATTGGCGAAAACAAAAAAAGGGAGTGGAAGGCGTGTCCTTATGACCTCAGTGGCTTTTAAAAAGCCAAGTTGACATCAAATTTTCCCATAAGCCTTAGTGATAGAGGTCAAGGGGTCATGAAATGAGTCTCCCAATACATATTGATTTATTTTTAGGCCCCGGGCAAATGTACTCTATTTAATTCGTTCTTCACTCTCTTTGTCTTTATTTATTACTTCTTTATATATTTCGAAAAAATAATTGAGAACGTAGATGAAAATTTTTTTTTTTAAATGCAATTTTTTTTTTTTGCCTCCTGTATTTGTGAGAATTAATTGTGGAAATTCCTTTGGGTTCATAACCCATTTTTAAACATTTGCAGGGCAAAAGGGTTAATGTATTTATTATTGCGCTGTAAAGATTGCCAGGTTGCATTAATTAATTATGAGATTGCTTATTAAATACATTGCACCGACAGACTTGCAGTTATATGTAAGTTATTACAGTGGATGTATTACATGTTGTGTGGTGGAAATTGCAAATTATGATTATCATTATGGTGGAAAATATTGGAATTAAAGTTT